TCAAATTGAAATTGTCCTTGTTCGAATCTGGGCTTGATCCTGGGGCCCAAACCTGTCGTCTCTGTCAAATATTTTTCTTTCTTATTGGGCTGTTGGCTATTTGTCTTGGGCTTAGTCCCCCTTTGATTCAAATAATTGATTCTTTCCCATGCAAGCCCTTATTTAATTAATTAGAACGTTAATTATAGCTAGTGTTGGTTACTTAAGTCCCTTAATTAGAATGGGGATGAACCATAATAGACAATAATAGTTCATGACTCTCTGAGCTTTAGTTAGGACATCCTTTAAAAAATGGAATTGAGGTGCGCCGCGCCAAATAAAATTACAAATGCGTGGCCCTCTTTAATTATTTCCTTTAAAATACTTAGAACTCGGGACGTGCCATTTAGCGAATTTTCATGGCCCTCGCAAAGTTAACAACGCGTAGTTGCTTTAGGCGCGTCTTTTAATAATATTACCTTCTTAAACTCGGGTGTGCATTTCATGTGACCCAAATCCAAATCCTAAAACGTTGAATAAAATGTGTTTCGGGTTGCGGGTGCATTTCATGTGACGCGATCCAAAGACATGTTTTAGACGGCGTCCAATCTTCCTTAAAATTAGTTAAAAGCGGTAAATAATTTAAAATTGCACTATAGGTTTGAACATGTTTTAGTATCTGATAATAAGCCAATTATAATAGTTTAAGCGACCGTGCTGGAACCACTGAATCCGGGGGTGCCTAACACCTTCCCTCGGGTTAACAGAATTCCTTATTCAGAATTTCTGGTTTGCAGACTTCACAAGGAAAGTCGAATTTTCCTCGATTGGGGATTCAAAATAACCGGTGACTTGGGACACCAAATAAACTATCCCAAGTGGCGACTCTGATAAATAAATAATCCCATTTCGAATAATGTCACTTAAAGTGGAAAAACTCCCTTATACACTATCCTTTCGGAGGTGGTGTGTAAAAAAGGAGGTGTGACAGCTCTGGCGACTCTGCTGGGGAACTACGAACCCAGAACTTCGGTTCAGGGTTCAAGAATTCGAGCTTAGAATAGCTGTTATGATTGGTTTTATCTGTTATATGATTTTCCTACATGTTTCATCCTAGTGTGCTAAATGCTTTACCGCTTTGATATTTGGTGAATTGTGTATACAAAATGCTACGAAACCCTTCCTCTCTCTGAGTCTTCTACATCATGGAGAAGGGTGCACTTCGTGTGACTTCTCTTCTGTCTAGAGTCTTATCCCATTTTAGAACGAGGTTCGGACAAGTTGCTAAGCCGGCGAAGCTTCTGTATTCCCGGTACGCT